AGACCCAACCCAGCACCACCAAAGCAGGTACCCAAAAAGACAAAGCCTAGAGCATTCCTAGGAAAATGCCAGAAAAGCCTTTGAAAATCTCATAAACCAACAGAAAACGGGACAAAATCTACGAAAAAGCAAGGGCATTGGCCGGGACCATGCCGCGACCAGCCCGGGATTCGAGCCCAGGACCATTTTGGACCGTGCTTATTTTCCCGCGCGGGTCGAGAGGGTGCCCCAAGATGTAAATCAATTGGGATGGCAGAATCTTGGACAATCCAGGTCACCATCCGGTCGCTTTTAGGGCAGGATTTCGTCACTGCAACAAGGGTCCGGAGGGGTAGGGGAGGTAAGGTCTAGGTCTAAGGCTAAGGACTAGGTCTGAGGCTAAGGATAAGGCCTAAGGCTAAGGCTAAGGCTAAGGCTTAAGGCTAAGGCTAACATCGACAGTCACGCCTCACCCCACGGTGTGGGGTCGGCGGATTTATTTATTTATTTTTCGTTGTTCTATTTTTCTTTTCGCGCCTCTTGTTCTTCTTCGTCTCGTTCTTCGTCTCAGGAATTACCCTTTGAACGTCCACGACCGGACTTCGGGCACTTCCAGTGGCACGGCCTCCGAAAGTTGTCGTCGAAGGTACAAGGTCACGGGCTGCACGTGCTACGCGGAGAGCGGTTTGTGCACCGGATCCAAGGCGAGGGTCCAGTCGTGGTTCTGAGGGGAAGATGTTGGGCTTTGCCACAAAAGGTAGCGGTAGACGTGTCTATTCCTTTTTTTGGGGGGGTGGATAGAAGGTAGATATATCTTTTTCCCGCAACTTATCCAAACTTGTTTGCCGTTCAGGTCGATGGTGCCAACTGCTATGCCTACGGCACCATGGATGTTCATGGCGCGACGGGGAAGTCCATTTCGGTGCGTGCCAAGGTCCGCTGCATGGAGCTCCCCTTTGCCAACAGCTACTCCGTGCAGACGAGCAGTGGACCCAGCTTCAGCTTTCTGGAGAGCTTCAATGACACGGATGAAGGAGATCGTGAGGCAGGGCGACCGTAGAAAAGATGCTGAAAAAGCTTTTCACGAAAGCTAGCACCAGCTAGCTGGAGTTGTCCTTGCTTTAGCAAGTGAGGGGCTGGAATCCTCGGGATCGCCGAATCACGTGAAAACTTCATATGTAGGGGGGCCCCCCCCCCCCCCCCTGAAAAGTAGAGCCTACCTGTACAGGGTTCCACTCCAACAGCCGATATAGTGTGTCCATACTTGACTGCTTCAAGGCTCAAAGAGCAAGAGGATAAGACTCTGCGCATAAAAGACACTAGCGGTCTGCACCTCTACCGTGTACGCCCTAGTCACTCTTTCAGTGGTAGCGGAGCTGTGATCCTGGAAGACCCAGGTGAGCTCCTTTCCTAGGCATAGAATTGCTTGTGGGCAAACGGCCATGGATTGGATTGACGACTGGGAAGAGCCTGATGCGGATGTGGCTTATGAGCCAGCAGCCTATGTGAATAGGCATGTGAGAAGAGAACCAGCAGCAATAGCAATGACAACACAGGTCACTACAAAGGTGCCCCCATCTTATGATGGAAAGACTTCATGGTTTTCCTATGAGGATGCCATAGACGATTGGTGTGATATCACCGAGCTGGAAGATGAGAAGAGAGGACCAGCATTGAGAAACAGATTAGAAGGAGAAGCAGCTGTATACAAGCGTGTTTTAGACAGAGATGCATTGAAGGCTAATGAGCCACCAGGAGCAGGAGTAGAATATTTCAAACGAGTACTACGACCATATTTTGTGAAAGGATCAACCAATGTATTCCTGTATAGGTTTATGCAATTCGTGCGCTTCAATCGAGGATCAGCTGACATGATGAAATGGATGACAAGATTCCAGATTTTACTCCAAAGGCTTATGAGCAGTTGGATGGACATGTTAGAGCCAGTCACACAAGCACATCCACAAGTCCTAGCTCAGATGCAGGCCGATGCAGCGTTGACTGGAGTAGCACCAACGGCAGAAAGGATTCAGGAAATCATGCAGACCATCAATGGCAATATGAGAACTTTTCATCAGAATGAATTTCCTCTAGGAGAAAATCTCATTGCCTTACTCATGCTGTCACTTGCAGATTTGTCTCAGGACCAGCGAAACACTTTGACTTCTTTGATGACTCATCGTGGCAGGGTCCTGCAGCAATACACTACAACAGAGTTGAGGACAGTTTTCATTGAGATGTTCCGCGCGACAAAGACTTCAGTAGACAATCCTTTGATGCAGCCGACAGGTGCTGGAGGTAGAAGATCATTCCTTGTACTTGATGAAGGAGAACTCGATGGTACATTTGCCTATTGGGCCGAAGATGAAGAAGATGGAACAGAAGGATTTTTAGATGCCCTGGACGATGTCTTTTGGGTATATGATGATCAAAACTTCTCGTGGTTCCAAAGGAGATTCCAAGGAAGAAGAGCCAGAAAAGGCAAAGGAAAAGGAAGAAGAAAAGGAAAAGGTAAAGGAAGATCAGGCCGCAGATTCTTCAGACCTCGTGGAAAAGGAAAAGGAAAGAGACGAGGCAAAGGCCATTTTGCTGATGAGCAACAGACAACTTTTCCAGATGAATACTTTGAAGAGAATCCTTATGAGGACACTTGGGAGTCAAATCAAGTAGCATATGATGCTATTCTTGCCGAAGATATGAATGACTATCTTCAAGGAGAATATGATGATGCCAATGACTTTTGGCAACAGCTTGAAGAAGCATGGTTTTCCCACAAAGGAAAGGGAAAAGGCAAGAGAAAAGGCAAGAAAGGAAAAGGGAAAGATAAAGGAGATGGCAAACAAGATGCAAATTATGCAAATCAACAACAGCCACGTTCTTTGCCTGCACCTTCAAGATCTTCACAAGCATCAGGAGGTCAACAAGGTTTCTTTGCGCATTGTGTGACAGCAGCAGCCGAAGTCCATGACAGTGAGGTGAACTTGCTGTCAGGCATGATGACCTCATGTCAAGATGAAGCTGACTGCGCGGTCAACAATGGTGAGACGATCTTCGATGGCATGAGTGCCCCTGTGAGGTACTGATTGTCAAAGGAGATGCTCACAAAGGCTCCTGATGGCTTTGCGCTTATGAGCGCTGAGGAAGAAGTGAAGGAGATGCAGGCCATTTCATTTTTGACTGAGAATCGCTTCCCGCCGACTATTGCAATCCTGGACATTGGATGCACTAGAGCTATGGGATCAAGGCGAGCAGTCGACTATTTTTGCAACTATGTCGACAATCACCCAGATTGTGGATTATGGTACTCTTTTGAGGCTACCAAGAGCAAGTTTTACTTTGCCAATTCCCAGAAGGCTACTTGCTCTCAGAAACTGGTGATTTACATGTATGATCGTGCATGGACGATCCACCATACAGAGTTCGACATAGTGGAAGAAGGAGAAGTCCCTTTGCTTGTGAGCTTGCCGCAGATGAGGAACTTAGGCTTTGAACTCAAGCTGACACCTCAACATGCTTATTTGACATCGGTGCCTCTTGGTATCAAATATTTGGAGTTGAAGGTTGCAGCCAGTACTCATCTTGTTTTGGACTTCCAAGATATTGCATGGTATCTGTCTGACGTGAATTTGCAGACTCGGCGCGAGAAGAGTTTTTACTCTCACTTCACTCACTATGAATATGGTCATATTTCTGTTGATCACAATAGTGATGAAGATGTAGCTGAACATGCATATCCTGTGGTTGACTACTGGGAAGTAGATGTTCGCAAGAGAGAACTGATACGTCACCACAAGGATTATAGGAAGATTCTTTTTCCAGCAACTAAGTCCTGTCCTGTAGACACTGACTTACTGGAAGACTTGCGACTGACAATCATCAAGAAGAAGAAAGGAGGAGAAGAAATCAAGAAGCTAGATGATTGGCGCAAGGCAAAATGGAAGGACCTACAAATTGGCTATGAATGGCGTGGTAGAACAATTTTTAAGTTCAAGCCAGATGCCAAAATTCCAGATCTAAAGATCAGGAAGGCTGGTATTGAGCACCGTGGCATTGGTGATCCCGATGCAGTGGTGCGCCTCCTCAGAGAAGGTTCCCATTGCAAAGGACAGGGAACCAGGCTTCTCGTCAGAGAAGGAAGGTGCACCATCAAGTGCCGCGGAAAAGCCCGTGCCGCCAAGGTTTCGGTATACTTCCAAGGGTTTTGATCCATTTTGGAAAGGACACAAGTCGAAACCATCTGAGCCTCAACATGATTTAAAGGGTGATGATCTTGAGGAGTATGCTCCTTCAGAACCACCTGAGAGGCCAGAAGGTGAACTTGTAGAAATTCCTAAAGCATCAAAAGGACAATCAAGTGATAAATATGAACCACTTGAACCAGGTGATGGCGCTCTTGAGCCTAGGCGGATTTCAATCCCATTACCTGGTAGTGAAGTTGTTGCAATGACACCGGCATATAGGAAGATGTTACAGAGACTGGAGGACAAGGTAGAGCTTTATAAGCTTCATGTGAAGCACTACCATATGAGTCCTACTCAGTTTCGTAGACGTGTTTCTATGTTGAAGCTTCCTGACTCTGTTTTAGAGAAGTATGAATCAGTTGTCAGGAACTGCCGTGTTTGTAACACTTCAGTGGCACCTCCGCCACGAGCCAGAGTCTCCGGTATTAGAGCTTCATGTTTTGGTGATGTTGTTTTTGCTGATCATTGTGAGGTTGAACTTCACAAGAACAAGTATATCATCTTACTTGTTCTTGATGGTGCCACAAATCTTCTCTGGGCTACGGCACAGAAAGACCTCATAGATCAAACCACCATCCAAGCATTGAGGCAATGGTCTGATGAGAACAACTGTGTTCCGAAGGCCATCGTAGGAGACGAAGCCTTTTTCACAGATGCTTTTGTTGAATACTACAGGTTTCATGGTATACAACAATGTCCTTGTGGGCCAAGAACTCCTTGGCCTAACCGAGCTGAGACAGCTGTACGTTTGTTCAAATGTATGTGGCATGTTATGAAGGTAGATCTGGATGACCCACGGTTTCGTGGTGTTACGGTCAGAGAAGTGGTCAAGAAGGTAGTTTGGGCAAGAAATTGTCAGTTGACTATCAGTGGATATTCACCAATAGAGATAGCAACTGGAAGACGTCCACCAGATCTTTTTGACCTTGAGACCGCAAGCCCTGAGCAATTGTCAGCCAGTGCCGCCGCACAAGATCGTACGAACCTGGAACTACAACGTGTGGCTTTGAGAGCTCATCAAGAAGCACGACAAGCTCAGGACCTTCGAGCAGATCTTGCAAGAAGGACTATGCCAAGTGACGGTCCCTATTTCCAAGGAGAGAAGGTTTTTATTTGGACTCAGGATTCATCAAAGTTCAAGGATAAAGGACGTTGGGTTCGTGCCACAGTACTTGGACAAGAAGGAGCTATGGTCCAAGCCAACACTGGTAAGGCAGTGGTACGTGTGAATCAGTCGAAGGTTAGACGTGATCACGATGAGTGGCATGATGTTTCCATACCGGCATTAGATGATGAGAATCCGGAGAACTTACGTGAAGATCACGAACTGTATGTTGATGCCGAATTTGGAGAACAGTCCTTTTTCTTTTGTAATGATGATCGTCCTGATGTTGTTGAGTTACTTCATGGAAACAGTGGATTATCTTGGTTCCTTTCAAAGAATGGTGTGAGAGTTGCATCTCCTATGGATTTCAAGGCAGGATACAACTTTTCCACTATGAAGGGTCAAGATGGTATTTGGCAGCAACTCGAGAGATTGCAGCCCCACTGTATAGTGATCAACAACCCTTCTCCCAAACAGAACAGAGCTTCTATTTGGTTGCTATGTTGTAATGTGATTGAGTGGCAGTTGAGAAGGAAGAAACATGTGTTTGTGACTGTTCCCAAAGGAAACAAGTTTTGTTTGTTTTTGCAGAAGTTCATTTCTTCGTTGAAGGATCCGATTTTTAACTTTGATGTGAATATGAATTGTTTTTGTTATTGTCCTAAGGGAATGAGTTACGTGACAGTCTTCCATTCCTAT